CCCACGCCCACACCCACACTCACACCCCACGCACTCACACCCACCCATACCGGCACCCACACCGATACCCACATCCCCACCCGCACCCACAGGCGGACCCACATCGGCATCCACACCCCAGCCACACCCACACCCCGCCCACAGCCACACACACTTATACCTGCACCCACATCCACACCCACACCCCGTGTTCTTCAAATGTGCTTTTGATTACATATGTTAAAAGTGTACCACATGCGCAGTACATTAAAAAAAAATTCAACATTCAATTACAATATTTCAGTTTTGTTAGAAAAGTCATTTGAATTCTCTAAATTCAATCAGATATTCTATGTTGAATAATTGAAAAAATGAATTAAAAATTTCCTTGTTAGAAACAAAAATCATTGAAAAACTATCGTGAGATAATTGTTGCATTTGACGTAAGGAGCAAAATTTTTCATTTCTAATGAACATCTCATGATAGCATAGATAATTCTAACATCAATCTCAACATCGAATTTCCTTTCATTATTTTAATAAATGTTTGTTAGATAAAATTTATTTAAATCATCTACGTAAACAAAAGAGAAATGCAGAAAAATAGAAAGTCAGAAGCTTCACAGCTTTTTAAATCATTTAGTAGGTTTGCATTTTGTTTAAATAACTGTCAACTAATTGAAAATAGGTATGATAATGATTTTAAGGATGTGGATATGGGGTGTGACTGTGGCGGGTGTGGATATGAGTGGAATCGGATAATGCCATCAAAGCCCACCCACACCCAACCCACACTCACACGCACACCCACACCCACACCCACACCCACACCCACACCCACACCCCACACCCACACCCACACCCACACCCACCCACACCCTTCTCAACATTATAGTTTATGGTTGACCAAAGATTCCTATAAAGCTAACATCCAGCGTATCAGAGGAGTACTCGAGTATTTATGGTGTATTAATGTTAACGAATTGTTCAATGATATGACTGATAAATTTTCAGTCATTTTTCTCATTAGAAACACCCTTGATGATAAAGCTTTTCTACGGCGATATCGCTCGCATCTCACAGCAAAAAAAAAGGTAACCCTCAAGCATATAAACTTAATAAAGGCCATCAAAACTGCATCTCAATGTATAACAGACAACACATCTTGATTTGCAATATGGTCCTATTCATAAACTTTTTTTTGCTTTTTGAGGTACATATTTCAGTTGTTCGTTTGGATATTTTGACCAACAACGGTTTATTTTAATCTGATATTATTGTAATAGATAGTCCTTAGTAGAGCACTTGTTTTACAATGAATCACACAGCCAGATCCTATGGCTTTGTTTCAACAGTATAATATTACTGCCCATTTCAAAATAAAAGGCACGTGGGTATTTTTCGAATAACTTTTGAGAGGAACAAGATAGAGAGCTGCGGTCTTCACCGTTGGAAAGAGCAGATGAAAATGCATCGAACCATATAAGACAATGACTTTTAACTTGGATTTTTGAAACCTTTTTCAATAGTTGAACAAAACAAATGCCTTAAAAACAGGTCTGATTTTTCTAGGAAAAACGAAAAAAACTCAAAAAAACTGAGTTTTTTTTAAAGAAATCGCTGGCAAAATGGACTATAATGGTCGAATATAGTACCTAGAACTCTCAAACCAGTAAAGCTTTGAACCAAGCGTTATATATAGTTTTGTAGCTCTTGAGCTGGCGATTCTAGCGCACTCCTCAAAGTTTAAGATTTGTTCTACCTTCAAAGGGTAATAGCCTACTCTTTCAAGATGACAATGAATCACTACCTATTTTTGAGATAAACCTTAACAATTTTATATGAGTTGATGCGCTGAATCGGCCTCTTTGCAACGGTGAAAACCGTAGCTCTCTATCTTGTTCCTATCAAAAGTTATTAAAAAAATACCCACGTGCCTTTTATTTTGAAATGGGCAGTAGTAGTGTTGGCTCATTCATCAACAGCTCATTCATTTGAGTTTATGTTTTTTTTAAAGAGAAAGACTTCAAATTGAGATGCATTCAGGGTAAAAAGTTCAACCTAAATGATTGTAGCCTTTATGAGATATCTATGCCACAAAAACCACAAAAACGAATTGTAAAAAATTTGCTTTTTCTAGTGGTCGTGCTCTAAAAAAAAATTTAAATATCTGGAGAATGAAACAATATTTTTTGAAACAGCTTGCCTAAAAATTCACCAAACATTTCTCTGTATAACATATGTAACAACTAGCCAAATTGATGATCATCAATTGAGCAGCATCGATCGTAACTTATGGAAAATGGCTCATAAATGGATTATTTCCCATTTATGTTTTGATTCTTTAGCTTGAAGTCTATTTACAAATAAATTCAATACAAATAAAATATTTTTTACTTTTTAATTTGACCCTTTATTTTAAATCCTCCTAATAAACAAATTTTATTTGAATGAATTATTCCATATTTAACTTTTGTTTGTTTATTTCATATGCTTTTCACAATAGGATTCGATATAAATAAATTATTTCCGATTTATATTCTGCTTCTTTATTTTAAATCTTCTCTACAATAGAGTTCAATATAAATGAGTTATGCTTAATTTATATTTATTTACTATTCATGCATCGGCTTTATTTTTGAGCTCAACGAAACTGACGAATTTTTGATTAACCTATCATTTAACGAGTGTATGTGCAATTTTATTTTGAAAAATATCACGGGCGTGCTCGGCAAACGAGCAAATTTATCGCTGAATTGATCACTACTATATTGGTGATGACAACTTACCTCGAATATGTTTGCATTCTTTCTTCCTTTACCTTTAATTATCATGTATTTTTTCTTTTTTATTTCATTTTCGTACGAGCAATCAAGATTGATGATATTTTGATTGACGTATAACTTAATATGTGTATGTATAATTTTGTTTTAAAAGTAACTACAGTGATGCGCACAAATGAAGGCAATCATGCATTTGTTTTTATATCATTTTTTGTATGTGCAGTCGAAATTGATGAAATTTTGATTAACGCATAATTTAACGTGTGTATGTGCAATTTTGTTTCGAAAAATGTCACTGGTGTGCTCGGCAAACGAGCAAATTTATCGCTGAATCGATCACTACTATATTGGTGATGACAGCTCATCTTGAATATGTTTACATTCTTTCCTCCTTTACCTTTAATTATCATGTATTTTTTCTTTTTTATTTCATTTTTGTATGAGCAGTTGAAATTGATGAAATTTTGATTGACGTATAGTCTAATTAATATATACACAATTTTGTAGATAAGATATTTTATTTAAAATAAAAAAAAGATATTATAAAAACTTAGAAATAAAGATGAAAGTGTGAAGGAACAGACAACGAAACATTCGGAGACGGCTTTTAACATTTGATGATGACTTTGGATGTCTGATGTCTGTTGCGTCAGTCGTAGTTCTAAAAAAGATAAATCATACGATAAGCTACCACAAAGATAGTTTCTGTCAGCTAAGCATAATTGATATCTTAACTATTCTATTCAGATATTTTACTTGTCTGAAGAAGAGATGGTAAATCCACGAAAAGTGTCCATTATATATTAAGAACTGTATTGAAATGAGGTATATTTCAACAAGAATGAGGATGAGAATGAGCCTGGTTGCCCTGATCCAGATTTCGTGTCGAGGAAGGCACTCGTTAGATGACTTTGACTCTGTTGTATTTGTTCGAATGATTTCTTGAATTTATATAGTAGTATCAAATGATACCAATGAAAAGCTAGTACGCAATGCCACTGTATTCTTTTCATTTGTATAAGAATTGTTGTCTCGATAATCCAATATTCACATCAAAGACGTTCTCTATGATATCTGCGCATTTTTCTGCCATGTTGCAAGAGTTCACGCACGAATTGTTTTTCTTCTCTTCATGCTATAGAAAATATCAACAAATGATGGTTGCTTGCGAGACGAAAGACAAAAATTGCCTGGCTACAGGCTCTTGTACTTGATTACATGCACGTGTTTCGTTAACGTGAGAGAGCTAGCTAATGTATCTTCTTTTCTTCCTATAGATTAATTACAGAAAATGTCCATTACGTGTTCGATGAGAAAAAGACGCTGTCTATTGGCACGTCTCTCTCACCGATTGCTTTTTTTTCGGTGAAGTGAAAGAAAGAAGATCCACGCATCACTGATCACTGAAATAAAAAATGTATAAAAAAGTGTGTTCGTCGCATTTTTATTCAGTTTTTTTTGCTTTCATTTCGATTCACACATTCTGCTTCGCCATTTGTTGTTTTTGTGCATTATTTGACGGTAAGTACCATTAGATTATTTGTGTTTAGTCTACACTACATTTTGTTTCAATGACGTACATCTTAGCCTATGAAGTGAAGGAATAACAGCGGCCAATAATGAAGGGACGTAGACATAGATTAGTCAGAGAATTTTAGTTCCATTACCCGCTGAGAAGGCTGCCCAAAGCAAAGGTTGAGAGATGACTTCTTCAGTAATCGAAAATGTCGATTGGACGGTATACTGAAAGTTAAGGATCTTTCAAGTGGCATTTAGAGATAGGCTGTTTTCTTGGATTCAAACTCTAGCGAAACGTTTTGTCAAGAGAACATTCCACAGAAATGTCAAACCTTTTCGGCTGTTTTGAGAAGCAAAATCGATGTAGATTTTCACAATGAGCCAGGTCAATGATTCCGGTAGGAACTGGATGTTTCTCTGGTATTTCCGGCGTCCGTCCTGAAGGTTCCCCTCGATTTCTCTCAGAACCCCATCGGAAAAACATAGGAGTATGGAAGTAGTATTCCAGACCAGAAAGCCTACAGATCATGCAGGAACCCTATAAGAACAACAACGAGACTGATGGGGGAAAACCTTGGAACCAGTCCAAAAAAGCAACGATAAGAGTATAAAAGGAAGACATTTCTTACACTTATATGAGCACTCAAGAGCGCTGTTCTTTCGAGCTAACTTGATCATTATTAGGAAGCTCAGTGTGGCACTCAGCGGCATAGCCAAGGAAGAGGCCAATGGGCAACTGCCCATTTCATTTGGAGATTTGCCCATTGTAATTTTTATGAGTAAGTTTTTGATCATTGAAATTTTACTTTTTCAGAATTGTTTATTGATTTTTGAATTAGATAGTAACTGTATTTTTGGGTGGGTATGGATGTGAATGTGGGGTGTGAGTGCGGGTGTGGGTGTCAATGATGACATTAATACCCACATCCACACCCACGCCTGACACCCACACTAGAGAGCTGCGGGTCCATGTTTTTTTGGACCCGAACCCGGGCCCGGTAAAAGCTAAATTTTCAGACCCGACTCCGGCCCAGTCGAGTCTAGACCCAGACCCGGACTCGGCCGGGTCTAGACCCAATCCTTTTTTCACCAATATTTGCCGCCCTCTGTGTACATGAACAGAAAAGGGAACACAATTTTAGCTATTCATTGGCCACATTAAAGATAAAATGAGTGTAGAATTATTTCTGACTGTTTCTCTTTCAATTTTGTTGACTTCAATTGTTATTGATATATATATTTCCATTCGTAACTTAATGCAGACAGAGTCTGAATTTCCTCTTAGGTATAGATCCGGACACGGACCCGGGCCCAGGAAAACCTAAATTTTCAGACCCGAACCCGGTTGGACCCGAGTCTGGAAGGACTCGCAGCTCTCTAACCCACACCCACAAACCCACTCACACCCACACCCACACCCCACCCTTAGGTTCTAAAGTCCTATACTATGGGGATACCCATAGGTCTTCAAGCCCTATACTATGGAGGTGCGCTTAGATCCTCAAGTGCTATACTATGGAGATAGCCTTGGGTCCTTATGTTCTTACTATGAGCTACCCATAGGTTCTCAAGTCCTATACTATGGAGGTACCCTTAGGTCCTGAAGTCCTATATTCCGAAGGTACCCTTAGATCCTCATATCCTATATATTGGAGGTACCATTAGGTCCTCATGTCCTGTATTCCGAAGCTACCCTTAGGTCTTCATGTCCCATATTATCGGGGTATCTATAAGCCCTCAAAGGCTATATTACGTAGGGATGCACCAATTCCAATTCTTGGCTTGAAATTGTTAGAATTGGTTGGAATTGGAATTGATTGCGATTGGTCTGAAATTGGAATTGGAATTAGTCTGAAATTGGCTCCGGATGGCTAGAACTCGTCTGGAATTGGTTAGAGTTTGTATGAAATTCGTATGTAATCGGCTTCATTTGGTTGGAACTTGCTGGAATGGGCTAGAATTGATTCAAATTGGTTAGAACTGGTATAGAATTATTCGGAATTGATCTGGAAGTAGTGCATCCCTAGTCCTTATAGCCGTATACCCTCGTAGTCTTACCCCTTGCTGTGTGATACTGTTGTGTTATTAATTCTTATGGCCTTATTTCGTTATTCTCTTATCCCCTTATATTCCGTGGCGCCTCATCCAACTATCTGCTATACTCTTATCTCCTTATGCCCTTTTGCCTTTATCCCTTATGCGCCTTTCGCCTTAGTCTCTTATCCGCTTTTCCGTATATCCTTATCCTGTTATAGCCGTATACCTTTATCTTCTTCCCCTTCCCTCTTTCCCTTATAGCCTCATATCCCTGGAGCCTTATCCGCTTATCCCCTACCCTTTATAGTCTTATAGCCCTTGAGAACCTATGCGTAACTCCATAGGATAGATATAGTGGGCGTATGGGTACTCCATAGGACGGCTCTTGAAGATCTGTGAGCACCTCCATATAAAAGCCCTTGGTGACCTATGGCTACTCCCATTATAATAGCCCTGAAGGACCTACGGGTCCTCCATAGGATAGCACTTGAGGATCTACGAGTTCCTCCATATAACATCCGTTGAGGATTTATGGATACCCCAATATAGTAGCCCTAGACGCCTTCCCCTTACAGCCTTATTTGACCTTTAACCTTTGACTTTTGACCCGGCACAGGAAACACACAGACACACATTGAACAATACATATATAGGTAGATGAGGACCTAAGGGTATCTTCGGAATATAGAAAATGAGGACCCAAGGATATTTCCAATATATAGGATATGAGGACCTAAGGGTACCTTCGGAATATAGGATATGAGGACCCAAGAGTATCTCAATATATAGAATACAAGGATCTGAGGGTACCTTCAGAATATAGGACTTGAGGACCCAAGAGTGCCTCTACTATACAGGATATGAGGATCTAAGGGCACCTTTGGAATATAGGACATAAGGATTCAAGGGTATCTCCAGTATATAGGATATGATGCCTAAGGTAACGTGATAAGAAAGTGGGAGGTATTATTCATGTAATAAATTAAAGATTAAATATTTGATAACCCAGTCCGACTGGACTGGTGCATCCCTATTCCGCTTCGATCTGATTCCGGAATCGCTCGCTTATTTCAGATATATATCTTTAACCGCACAAGGCAAGCTGAGGGTGAGAAGTAATTCTGGAATTAGATCGAAGCGGAATCAGACGGAATCGCTAGCAATTCCCACCAATTCCAGAATCGGATGCAATTACGGAATTGAACGGAATTAGTGGGTCGTGTTGCTCAGGCCATATGAAAGAGCGCCCCTGATAACCCCAACTTTGACTTTAACAACACTATCATTTATCCTTACAATAAGAGCGAAAAATGGTGCTCACACCTGAGTGGCTAGAATTTTTTCTAATTAAGGGCTTCCCCCCTCAAAAATTGATCTCAGCCCAGGAACATCCAAACAGGCTGATATTTGGAGGATATGTTGGGCCTGTGATAGGACGCACGTGACAAAAGTTTCAGCCTTCTATCCTGATGTATAAGGTAGATACGAACCAAACA